GCTCAGCCAGGCTTAAATCCATTTGTGTTCAAGCAAACATTTAAAAAGCTGCTGTTTGTTCACAGGGAAATGTGGAGAGGGGCTGCTCAGCAGTGCTTGTACAGGGCCAAATCCACCCTGCAGGGATTGGTACCAGCATGGTTTAACCCTCTCTGTGTGGTGCTTGGGAGAGTGTGAGGAAGCACTGAGAGATCAGGGAACAAAGCAGGAGCACTTTCAGTCCACACCCACATGGTGGATGCCTGGGGGTGGTGAGGAAGAGGAGGAATCCCTGAGAAGCGGTGAAGTCCTTGACCAGAATCAAGGTGCTTGTGGTCCTGAGCAGGAGCACAAGATGAAATGCTTGAGCAGGAGCTGGGAGGGTGCAGCTAAGTAAAACTCTTTATGTGTACTGCTCCACTCCAGCTTTGACCTTAAAGATCACTGAGATGGAGTTGTTTGGCTGGGAGAGGGAGACACTGATAATTATTTAGTACATGGTTCAAAGCCTGACTCCTGTCTGGATGAAATGGACAGCTACCAGCCCTGCTGTCCAGAGATAAGTGTGGAAAGAGAATTGGGTATCTTGGCAAGATTTCTGCTGGAGCTGAATTCAAACTGCAAAGTAATTCATCACTTGCAACTCTTCAACCCTTATTACCCACTTTGCTATCTTGAATCAAAGTCCTCTGTCTTCTGGAGCTCGGTTCCTATTTTAACTGAGATACTTTTCCTGAAAAGCAACTCTCCAATTTAGGGGAAGGCAATAAATTAATAAAAAGATAGGTATAAATCATCACTCGTGACTTGGAATAGCTCTGCAATTATTCAGGTCTATAAAGCTTAGCTAATGTTTCTAATGTAATATTCTGCCATGAGATTTAATTTGCCTCATACGACTCATTTAGTAACCTAAGCATAGATGTAGAACTGACAAATATCTATTAAACCAGCATGTCCAGATACAATGGGGTGGATTTGTCCATCACTAGGTATTAAGACAACACTAAGCAGATGATTTTGGATAGATAGCCTCAGCTGTAAACTCTATTTAATTACATGTTTGTTATTCTCTTATTGTTATCTGTCTTCCATTGAGCCATGTGCACCAAGAGCTCTCTCACAAGAGATTTCTGGGCACAAACAACTAATTTACATTAAGTGGTTTCCTTAGTCATCTGCCTGTTATGTTCCCATCTGGATACAATGCCACACCATGGACTGGGCCTTTTTCTGTGCATTGGAAATGGCTTGTCGTCACTCTGGGAGCTCATGACTGAGGTATAAGATACCACTGAGGTCACAAAAACCACAGAAGGTTATAGCAACAATTACTACACCTCCAGTTATTTTAATTGAATTGTTTGTGACAGTCCCAACACACCTCCATGCCCTGTTGTTTGAGTGTGCTAGAAATGATACTGCACTTTTCATAAGATAATAGCAATTAGCAGAACTGTGGTTGGTGGTTATTTTAGGCAGCATTGTCTCTGATGTTAGCCCTCAGTTTCCTTCACAGCAGTTGTCATGGTGGACCTGAACGTGATATTCTTCTTGGTCACGAGATTCTTGACTATAAGACTGGTTAAAACTGGCTTCAGTCCAAAGTAACTTGTCATAAAAAAAAGCTCTTTCAAGCAAAATCAGTGGGAAAGCCCCTCCTCGTTAAATTGAAAAGCAGAATTGAAAATTAAAAGTTAAGAGGGGAGGGTATTCAGTCAAGACCTGACACTCTCTGTGCCTGATCTGTGCTTTTCTTCACCACCTTTCTCTAGACAGAAAAAAGTGATGTACTTCTTGCTGTACCACTTGCATGTTACCCAGGCAGATAAAATTCCTCAATAAAAAAATGAAATGTGAGGCTGTACACTTTCAGAGCAAAGCCTCATTTTTAAAATTCAAACTCCTCACATTTTCAGGCAAAATAGCATGCAGCATTTAATCTATGGACTTCTTGTTCCCGTGTGTTGAATTAATATTAACCATGAACAATTCTACTGGAAGAAAAGACTGAACACCAGTGTTGCAGAATATACTCCTGCATGTGTACAGGTTTTTGAAGAGACTATCAGCATTTGCTGTTCTTGTTTTATTGTGCCTAACTAGAGGAAACTCCCAAAAAATAGGATAAGCCTTGCACCATACAGCCTGAAGTTCCCTTGCAATCTACCTTCCAGACTTAATTTCTCTCTGCCCTCTTTCTACTGCACTTTGGAATGAAACAGGGCTTTAGTAAGTGTTGATTACAAAATGCCATGATCCCATCCTGCTTAGATCACATGAATGGCCTATTGCTAGACTGTTCTGAACTTGACCCTCATTCTGCATCCAAATTCAATGATACAGCCATTCATCAGCTTGATTTTGGCAGTGTTATACATGCCCTCTGAAACATTATTTTTGGCAGGCTCTCAAAGCACGAGTGACTTTCAGCATACAAATCTCATTTGCTGCATCATCTCCTTCGTGATCCTTGATCAGCAGGAGCTCAGGAGCTCGGCTGACTAGCACAAAGCCAAAAATAGTGTGTTTTTCAGTGCAAGTCTGAATAACCATTAGCATGTAACCTCAGTGACAGCAGTTGGTGTGTGCATCTGTGCTGCTGGTGGTTGGTATGTGCTCTGGGACTGCTCTTCTCCACCTGTGTTCATGTGAGCTGGTCAGCAGAAGGAAGGTGCCCTAAAAGCACTTGCATCTGGTCCCTAAATTAAGCAAATGCTGCAGTGAGTTGATTTGTCCCACCAAGAACTGTCTGGAGATGGTAACTACAGAGAGCAGGCCCCTAAATCAGGGCCTTTTTTTCTGTGGTTAGAGAAGAAGTAGTAATGACTGTGTGTATTTTTTAAGCTTTGGAAAATTTTAGAAGCATTTCTATTCTTTTTGATGGAGTTCAACTTTAGTTACCCCCGTGCTACCAATGGGGAAATGGCAGCACAGGACAAGCCTGGGGATCTCCCTGCCACTCAGATTTTCCTCTTGGAGGACCAGTTCTCAGGTTTTTTCTAAGATTGCTGGATCTCACCTCTTTAAGCTCTCAAAGGCTCCAGCAGGAAGCACAAGGTGCCCTGTGATCCCTGTGTGAGGTGTGAGTGTCCCTGCAGCAGCTCTTTGGGAAAGCAGTAGGAGGTGTTTGATTGCTGCAGTGCTTTATGTAACCCAGCAAAACCCACACACCTGATCCCCCTGTACCTGAATAAATGTTTTGGGGATCTGCTCAAGTCCACTAAGGCACAAGAGACACCACTGCACCCCAAACACCCCTCTTCAGACCCTCCTGCAGGGAAAAGGCTGGAGGAGCTGCCTGGACACTGTCACTGCCCTTTACTCCCTGGGGGAAAGCCTCAGGACAAGAAGTGATTCAGCAGAAGATGATGCAGTGCAGGAGTGATTTGCTTGGCAGAGACCCCACTGCAGATCCAAATCTGCTGCTCTACAGCACCTCTTACACTGGAAATGAGTAAAACCAAAACCTTTGCCTCCCACAGAAGGCAGATACTAAACATGAAGCCACCTTAGGTGATATCCCAACCCAGCAGCAGGAGTCAGCCTCCCTGGCAGTAGCCCACAGCTTTGTTCTTCCAAGCACTGGAGTCCTTGTGCTGCTCAGCACTGAGAGCTGAACCCAGCCCTTGCCAGAGCAGGTCTTTGTGCCCTTTTAATGATAGAAAAAAACAAGCACTCAGGCTGCAAGTGTGATTCTTCACTGAGTTGTGCATATTTCATGCCAGTAAATAACTGTAGTAAAATCTATGTTCTAAGCCAGTAAAATCTATTTTGTGATGATGAAGAATCAGGCTCAGTAAAACGTATCCAGAAATTAAACAAGTAAAACAGAGCAAACAGCTCTGTCCTATCAAGGTAATTTATATCCTGTTAACCACAAGGAAAAAAAACAACTCAACATGCAAAGAGACATCTGGAAATGAAAATTAACTAAAACCAGACTAATGACATAAACAAGGGAGAAATACAGCCTCCAGATCTGTGTAGCTGAGCCTGATGTATATCACAAACTAGATTGCTTGGGAGTTTTGTTTTTAAAAGAACACAACAAATCAGGGCGGAAATTTTCCATTTAAAGCCATAACTTCTCAATTCAGACATTTGTGAGGGCATAAAAGACAGAAGAATGGAGGAAAAAACTCATCTGCCAAGAGCTCTACATGTATGTTGCTCCCAGAACTAATTGAATAACAATAACCATTCTTTGAGAATCATTTTGGTTGCCAAAATTCACAAATAATATTATTTACAATCTGGTGTATGACCACCTTCAGATTCAACTGAATTTTAAAAATACATATTAGCACAAACATTTTGAAAAAAAAAATTAAATTTTAATTTTAGAAATGACCATTGAGGAAGCACATTGTTTCCAATATTGTCTTACACTAAGAGCATTTGCTCCTCATTGTGAAAAAAATTCTGGGTTTGGTGCATTTCCTCTAAATGTATGAGAAGGCTGGACATGCTACATAGCTGAAAAAAATCTGAGCATGGTTTTCACCTCATCACTGACCTTGAGTATTCTCTTGCCTATCTAGCTATGAAATCTTCATCCAAACTGCAGTGGGATCTACCATATATTTGATTCCCCTGCAGATCTGGACAGCAGTTTTATGATCTGCTTCCGTGTCTATAATAGAACTTTCATAAAGGTGGCAAATGCTACTACTTAAAACACTGGGGGGATGTTGGCTTATTTTTTATTTTCAGTATTAGAAAAAGGATCATTATGGAGCTTTCATTTGCTCATATTACCCCCAAGACCCCACCAAAACAAACATTTGCTAAAATAATGGTAAGGTCAGCAAAGCAGAAAGGTTCAGGTTTTGAATTATATACCATTAGATCTTAAAAAATACTGCCTGCCAAATCCAGACTCCACATCATTTTCAAGCATACAAGTAATTTTCAAATACCAGGCTAGTTCTGCAGTACTGACAGACTAAAATGATCTCCTGCTTTACTTAGAAGTTGACCCAATTTGACCGAAAAATCTTCAGGAGAAAGCAAATGTAGAACTTTGTATTTTATTTGATACTACTTTACCAACTACAGCAAAGCTCTGAAGGTCAGTAATGTTATCCAGGCACTAAATGCCAAATCCTGCATCAAAAAACATCCCAGAAAGTTGTGCCTGGTTCTTTTACTCCTGCATGGAAGTGGGGAAGTCTCTCCTTGTGGTAGATAATCTTTCCATGGTGTATTTATATGCTTTCATGCCTTTCCACCCACTCTGTGTCTTTATTGTCCTGCTCCTGCACAGAAAAAAATACCATGTCAATAATTCATAATCCAGAGGCCCTTGCTGTGCTTGTGAAGTCACAGAACCCAGGAAAAGGCAATCTACAACCTAGTTTGATTTTGTCTGACTTGTGAGGTCCTCGTAGCTCCTTTACTTATGTACATCATGCAACTGCCACATGCCAACCTCCCTAAAGCTGCTCTGATGGATAAAAGATCCTGTGCAGGTCTGCAGGCTGGGCTGGGCTTGGAGAGGACTCTAAAATACAAGGTGGAAGGAAAACACTGAAATGGAAAAACAGCAGAGTCAGAGAGACTTTTCCAAAGCCTGTAGGTTCTCAAGAACCAAAGGGATGAGCAAGAGACTTGATGAGTTCTTCTTCTCCACAGGAGACATTCCACAAAAGTGTCACCAGGACATTGTGGCATTCACATTCTGTGGACAGAGCAACATAATTCTGTCTCTCAGGAGAAGCACAGAGAGAAGAGAAAACAATCTTTATCTCTGCTCCTTTGTTCTTGCCATGTGGAATGTGGTGTGGAGATTGGTTACCTGCAGTGATTGCTGGATTGGATGCTGGTGAAGGTCGTTTGGGTGCAATGACCAGTGGGATCCAGCTGTGGCTCAGATCTCAGCAGAGAGTCATGAGTGAAGTAGCTGATACATAAGTAAGAAGTAAGTATGTAGAATAGGATAGTCTCTCTTTAAATAGTATAGTATATTAATGTAATATAATATAGTTTTAATAAAGCAGATCCTTCAGCCTTCTGATCTGGAGCCAGACATCATCATTTCTTCCCTGTCAGGGTTGCCCTTTTTTACTGTAGAACATCTGCAGTGACCCCCAGGGACTGAGGGCACGCTTTGTGTCCCTTATCCACGAGGCCAGCATGACAGCAAGGAGATATGGGATGTTCTGGTTCTGACCTGTGGTTCTTGGGTCAGAAGCTCCAGAGAGAGCTGGACAACGTCGGGGGCTCTTCAGAGATTGTTTCCACTGTGTGTGGTTGTGGTGAGGTTTATGCAGCCCCATTTTTATGTTTTCTTTTATTATATGAAATTGAGTATTGAATACAAGTGACATCATTAAAAATATTTCAAATGGGAGGAGAGGAAAGGGAGAGGGAGAGGAGAGGAGAGGAGATTGACACAAATTGAGACACAACTGTGCTTTAGAGGAGCAGAGCTCCTCACCCAAGGGCTTAGGGAGTTGCAGGATGGCTGTGGAGGAAGCGAGGCTGCTCACTGAGGGAGCCTGACAGGGACAAGCAGTGGGTGTCTCCAGGGAACAGATTGCTCCTCCAGAAGGGAGGGATGTGGGCACAAAGCAAGAAAATCCTCCACAAGGGAAGAAGAGCTGCTCTCGTCCACCTCCCAGCTCACCCAAGAAATAAGCAGGGTCTGAGTGAGCAGTTCTGCTCCATTCCCAGCATCACAGGGAAGGAATCTGCTCCACAATGAGCAGCTGGGCCTCTAAGCTGGAGCCAGAGCTTTTGTGTGCTCATGTAAGCGATGCCTGGATGCTTCATGCAACAGGCTGTCCTTGAAAAACAAGAACTTTGCCTACACTGGCACTGATGCGGGCACAAGATGTGCTCCGAGTATCAGTCTTGTTTCATTGGTTGTTTTAAGATTTGTTGTCTTACATCTTACCTGTAATGAATAGTTTTTTAAATGGTATTGCTTGATTTAGTATAATTCTATTTACTAAAACATGCTAATATTTTGTTGTCATTTTTTCTCTTTTCATCACTAGCAAATTATTGTTAGATACATGTCAGCTTTAAAAATCAATCATCTCATTTTTTGAAAATAAGAAGAGGAGACATTGTTTAGAGGAGGAGAAGGAAAACGAGACACCATATAGAGAGAAAACACATTGGATCAAATTCCATGCCGTGTACCTCAAATTCCTTTAATTATGTACATGGTCTAATTTTACCTTGAGCATGGATATTTACTAAAGAGCTTTTGGTGTTCCTATAGCCTCTGTGGTGCTCTTCATATGGTCCTTGGAATATCCCATTCCATACTTTGACCTCCCTCAGCAGCACCCATGTTGCCCATGGTCCATCAGCTGTCTCACACCTGAGCTTTCCCCATCCCACCGTCCACAAGCTGAGGACATCCAGAATTCCCTTTCTGCTCAAACAACTGCACGAGACTCAGGTTATGGTTTCCTTTCCTCTGGAACTAGACCTGAGATGCATACAAGGAAGAGCAAGCCTCAGGGGAAAATGGAGTTTTCTCAAACCTGTCTCCAAACTGTAACTGGAGTGGTCTCTGCTGAAAGGATGTGAACACTCTTGCTGCAGGGCTCTTATGGCCGACACAAAAAATCCAGTTTGCAGCTGGGGCAACAAGAGTAGGACACCACAGGCAAGAGGTTGGGGTCCTCTCCCATGTGCCAGCTGTGACTGCTGTCAGAGGCAAGCTCCAGGGCCTGGCAGGTCCTTGAAGGTGCCAGGCTGACCAGTGTCTTACCCAGCCCAGAAAATACCACACAATATGCAGACAGATGTTTCATGTTTCCATGTCAGCCAGGAGCCTGCATCTGTCCTGTTGGGGGATTGCTGCAGAACAGAATATCTGGGATTTGCTCTCCTGCCCCTGTTTCTTATGCAAACTCTCCCAGAGCAGCGATGACAATGGGTAACTTCTGCCAGCGCTGGAGAAGAGGCCGAGTTCTGTCTGCTTTTGCTTCAGGGCACACAAAAGAGAAATTAAGTGGAAACAAATCATGGCACAGTCAAGAAAGGAGAAGGAGGAAAATGCAAACAGTACTGAATGCTTTGGTGTTCACAGTTTAATGTGCAGCCCAACCACACTCCTTGACAGAAGCTAAATAACAGAAAACCATGGAGGACAGGGACCTCATAGATGTTTCTTGGCCCCTCACATTGATCTTTCCAGAAGAAGAAATTATCTGATTCCTCCAAAGATTATTGTAAATTATCTACTGGCCTTAAGAAAATATTCAGGTATTCCAAGGGCACACAGGAGAGAATCTGGTGTTGTTATTCATAATTACAAAGAAAAGAAAAAAACAGAGAAAATACAGCATGACAAACCAATTTGAGTGACTTGGCAAATGTGCAGGGTTAATTGTCACTTTATTGTTAAAGATGAAGATAATAAAATTGTATGGCTCCATTTTTATTACTGTGTGTCAAAATTCCCATAATTTGGAGACGTAATAATGCTTCTCCTGAAATAACATAGACCTGCTCTTTGTGTATTTATATGCCCTTTGTGTGTTTTTCTGCTTTCTGACCTCTTATCTTTTTCAAGTCCTCCACCCTCCCTCTGTAAATGCTGATGATCTTAATTTATCCTGTTATGGTAGTTATGCTTAGTCACAAATGTATTTCTGTTCCATTCCCTTCAAGAGAACACTTCACAAAGCTTTGGAATAATCAGGAAAGTCATCACAGGCCATGAGAAGTACCTGCCTACAAACTAGCTATAAACTTTCCTTTTAAATCAAGGGGTTTTCTGAGAAATAATGAAGAGTTATGAAAAGCATATTGAATCAGAGTTATTGATAAAAGACAGATATTTTCATGCCCACTCTGAAAGGGGATAAAGGACATCTCTTTTTGGTCTAACATAAGAGCATAAACTGAGTATAATTCATAAAGCACGAGGTACTTCCTACAAAGTGTTCTGAAGACCTTCTTCAAAGGTTTAAGAAAGTTTCCTAACATGACTACTTCCTCTGCAAACAGGTACTGCTGCCCATCAGGGTCAGCACCACAATCTCAATACTGCTGAGCCATCCCATGAGCCCTTTATGATGAATCGGGGCTGAATATGAATTTCATCCTAACTTGTACCTGTTGCCAAACCACTGAAGCTGATGTTTGTGTGTGCTCCCTTATGCCTGTGCTGCAGGAGACTTGGCCTTTCTTTCCAAGTTGTGGTAAAATGGAAATACCTTGGTTGACTTTGTCAACACTACATTCATCTCCTTATAGGCTCTTTTCTGGCAAATCATTCTCTGGCACTGGTTTTGAAACCTCACATCTCTTCCCTGGGGACCTATAAAGCCTGAGATATCTTTAAAAGACAAATTTTGGGGCCTGAGCCTGGCAGCTTGGTCCCACTGATGCATCTGCCAAAAGCATGAGGACATCAGCCATGTGACAAACTGGCTGCTGTGCGAGAACTTTTTGCTTTTTTAGAGCTGAATTTTGCATGATGCAGTGGTGGCAGCGGGCCTGAACTCACCTGTGACCCCTGAGTGCAGCAAAATTCTCAGACACTTATTTTTCCTCCTGCTTCCTGCATTTTGCCACAAAGCTTGTGGTTACCCTGCAATGGAGTGATGCAGGCTGTGGGCTCTGCCAGCTGAGGACAGCCACTGGCAGGCACATGGAGACAGGGGGGAAAAGGACAAAGAACCCCTCAAACCTCTGCTCTCCAGCGAGGATGAAGTGAGTGTGGATTATAAGCCTGAATGCCCAATAAAGGATAGCAGAGGTTGCTGCCTTTGCATCCAACAGCACCACAGCAAACCTGTGAAAGGCCAGAATGGGCATGAAGAGAACAAAGCACCACATTTCTCACCTGGTATAACTGCAGAAGGGTGTGAGACCTTTACATTTTTCCACCACTTTCCCCCAGAAAGTTGCTATTTACCCATCAAATAGCCAAGGTCAGCTTCATATAAGGATGGAAGTCCTCATTTTCACTGTCAATGCTCTGCCAAGAAATGAAGGAGCTCCTTCTAGATGGATGCTTTGCAAACAGACTTATTAAGACAGGATATTCCCTGTGCATTATGAAGAAATACAAGCTTACAGATTGCAGAAGAAACCCCTGAAAACTGCCAGAGTTTTAAAGAAATATTTTTCAAATGACACAGTAGGCAAAAATGTCCTGTTTTGAATAACTACAAGAATGTTCTCTCTGTGGGGAGATGTGAAAAGCAATTATGTTCCCAACTTTGCAAGCGTGAATTACAGAACTGAAAATGTATTTTGCTTTAGAAAGGCTCGCTTTGATTTTGTTCAAGTAATACTTGAGAATCTGCCCTCCCAAATCTGCAGAACTATGATAAAAATATTTTTAAAAGGTAGATGCATTTCCAAGCCACACATAAAGACTAGCAGTTGTTTGGTAATTCCATTTAAGCCTAAAACGTTTGATGGCTCAGTGCTCTTGTCATATTTTAATGGTATTTGCTGTAATCAGGCAGATTCTTGTTCAGCTCTGTTCAGACATTCTCATTTTTAATCCAAAATTTGCATCTATATCCAATAAAATATATCCTCCTTGACTGTGTGCCAAAAAGCAACTCAGAGTTCCTCCAAAGACAGCCTGGTGAGAAGACTGTAGGTTCAGGTGGAGTTATCATGGAGACTCCATTTCTCAGTTCTCAGGACATCATCTCCTCCAGGGCCTGACATTTGTGAAGAAATGAGCTGTATTTCCTGATGTGGACTTCTCTTCTTGCACCTCTGTTTTCTCTCTGGGTCCCTGGTGCAAAATCTTATGAGCTTTAACAGCACTGTCAAGGGAGGCTTTGTAGGCACTCATTCAGTTTAGATCCTTTAGATCCTCATCCTTCTGAGAAGACTCAGGGGATGTATCTCAAATTAGGCACTATGGGACAAAGTGACCTAAAAATCACATGCTATTGGCAGAAAATGTGAGTCTTTGTCAAAATCAGCATCTACCAAAATATCCATTCTGATTGATATTACAGTTTGCTTCATGCTTTCTTAAAAACACCTGAAGGGGAGGGGAAGTATAACCATAGCTACTGAAATAAATGGCTGCTGTCCCCTGGGCTGTGACAGCAGCATTTATCTTTCTACAGCCCATGTATGAGAGAAAGGAAGAGAATTCTCCAGCTTGGAGCTATTTTCTGTCAAAAATCTTAATGTAATTTTTGTACAGTGAGTATTTATAACTGTTGTTAGTGTCAATACAATTTTTTGCAGTTAGTGCACTTATTTACATTTTAATGGCCAAGCCAATAAAGATTTATGCACCTGTCATCTGAATTTTCCACAAAAGTGGTGATTGCTTAAAAAAAACCCCAGTATCTCCTGCAGAATACTCCCTCTCCAAGCATCTTTTAGATGCCTTCATTGTTTTGGGAAACAGTAGGCTAATAACTCTAAAAGTCATAAGTTAAACCCAGCAAAATCCTGCATCAGTCTTCATGGCAAAACTTCTGCATATTACAAAAGCACTTGCTCAGGAACCATTTTTTTTTCTCACTCTGTTTTTCAAACACTGTCTCTTGGATGGCAAAGGCTGTTTCATCACTTTGATATATCTCAGCTGCACAAACTACAGTACTTTTGTAGCTTGAGGAGATTCACTGTTTTGTGTTGACTTTGTTTTGATTTTAATGCAGTTAAAGTCATAGTTCAGATCCCAGGCACACCACTCAGGAGGGACACACAGTGCTCCAGCATCCACTCCCCTGCACACATAACCACCTCCAAAATGTGAACCACGGAAAAAACACTGAAGGCATCCCCTCTGTGTCTGCCCACGGTCTTGGCGGAGCAGCCGGGGCTGCCAAGGCACATGTGTGCCCTCATTCTGGCCATGCTTTTCCTGGAGGCAGCCAGCCCACAAACCTTTTTTTATTCCTGCCCAGAGGAGGCTGGTGAGACCCACACAGCTGCCAGGGCTCTGCAGGATCAGCTCTTTCCATCTCGGTTATGTATTTCTAGCCTAGCTCGGTTATGTATTTCCCTGCTGTCCATCCCTTGCTGGATTCCCCAGCGGGCTGGTGGCTGCGGTCACCAGGAGGAGAGGCAGGCTCCCTCCAGAGCTGTGTGTCCTCTCTGTTGTCACTCCAGGCAGAGCTGAGCCAGCTCTGCTCCAGCTGAAGCTGAGGGTCTCAAAGACATAGAAGTATGGGGTTTCTGATCAGCTTAGCTGGGGTCCGATGCACCGAGTAGTTTTAGCATAGAGTTCAGATTCGAGCTGGCATGAAGCCAGGGCTAGGAGCCAGGCTCCAGCAGCACCCCAGCTTCATGCCCTGCTCTTGTAAGGCACCGTTCATAGTCACAGCTCTGAGTCTCCACATCACCTGCACTAGAGCTGCAAAAGAGGCTGGAGGAGCCCCGGTCCCTCAAATGGCCTCGGTGCAGAGCTCTCGCTGTAACCAGAGCACCGTCAAACCTGCGCTCCTTGCCCTTGCTGTGGTCTCCAGACCTTTGCGGCTTGCGCAGGAACACACATTCTCACCGTGACACCGAAAGATGTTTTCTCCCGTACGAGCAATTCCCTCTGCAGCTCCGACCACCCAGCGCCTCCATCCCCAAGCCCCCGAGCAGCCCGAGCAACGCCTCCGAGCATCTCCCCGAGAAAAGGGGTGGCCGGGGGGCGTCTTTCACCTCATCTTTCAAAACCTCGAGCCTCCCCCGCCGCCCGAGATCTCCCAGTAAATGTCACCCCTGCGGCCGCCCCCCGGCAGACGATGCTCGAGCCCCCCGCGCCCTGCCCGGGGCGGGGGTCCCCGGGCGGCAGCAGGAGGCGCGGCGAGCCCGGCCGCGGCAGCCCGGCGCTGAGCTCACCTCCCTCCGCCCCCCCGCTCCCTTCTCCTCCCCCTTCCCTCCCTCCTCCTCCGCCTCCTCCCGCGCCCAGCCTGCAGCCGGGATCTCAGTATTATGGCATCGAGGAGAATGGAGACCAAACCCGTGATAACGTGTCTGAAAACCCTCCTCATCATCTACTCCTTCGTGTTCTGGGTGAGTGCGGCGCGGGCACACGGGGACCGCTGGGCACGGCCGGGCACCCCCCGGCCCCCACCTGCCCGGGGCGGGGGGCGCGGGGGGCTCCGCAGCGCGGCTCCGCCGGGGCGGCACCGCTGGGCGAGCGGGGACGGGGCATGTCCGCCGGAACACACATCTGCGTGCACACGCACACATGTATATGAGCTCGCACATATATACACACACATTTCTGCCTATAAAAAATGATGGGTTTCGCCTCCTCTCGCGGCGAGCGCGTCCCCGCGGGGGAAAGTTGCAGGGGTCTCCCCGAAAGCCTCCATAGCCTGGCCGCTCCACGCCGCCCCTCTGGCCGGCCGGACCGTGTCCCCACGATCGGACCGTGTCCCCTCGGCCGGACCGTGGCCCCACGGCCGGACCGTGTCCCCACGATCGGACCGTGTCCCCGCGGCCGGACCGTGTCCCCACGATCGGACCGTGTCCCCACGATCGGACCGTGTCCCCACCGCCGGACCGTGTCCCCACGATCGGACCGTGTCCCCACGATCGGACCGTGTCCCCACCGCCGGACCGTGTCCCCGCCGCCGGACCCGCACCCGCGTCCCTCCGCGGGGCGCGGGCGATGCCGCCGCAGCGCCCCCGGTTCCTGCGCGCAGCGGGGGCTGCCCTCGCCCCGGCCGCGGTACCCGCGTTTCGTAACCGGGCTCAGGCTCCCGCGAACCATTCTCCTGACCCAGATGCATTAATTGAGTTGCCGCGATTGCCTGACGGGCAGCCCGGCCGTGTTTTTCAGGCGACCCCGGGGGCCGGAGGTTTTTCCGCCGGCCTGTTAGTCAGCAGATCCGCGGCAGGAGCCGCGTACCGCGGCGGCGGTCGGCAGGTTCAAGAGCTTTCAATGGCACACGGTGACAGCGCACGGTAATGGCCCCGCTGTGTGCGGCTCGCACAGCGTCGGCGCGGCGCTCTGAGGCGCGTTTGTCCCTTCCTAGCTGCCTGTGCTCCGTCGCTGTGGAAAGTGTCTGTGAAACACACTGACTCCAATCTTCATCTTTCTGCTTAAAAAGGCATTCTGAACAAAGAATTGCTTATTCATGGCAATAACGTTTGACATCCTTAAAGTGAACACAGGACTTCAGCTGTTTCAACTTTTACTTCACAAGATTTCATTGTTTTTTTTTAAGCATAACCAAAAGACATTTTGCTTATCCATACTTACAGCAGTACCTCGGCGTTACTGGCTCCTTTGTACCCATCCCCCGATATTTAACATATCTCCCCCCCTATTCTTTTTAATATTTTTGGTGGCAGCAGGTTATCTGATGACTGAAATGGATAGGAATCCAGAATAATCTGTTGGGTTTTTTGTTGACAAGTAGATTCTTCACATTAGTTTCAAGGAGGTAGGTGGCTAAGTTTATAGACTTACACAGTTTGAAGATTTATCCTTTCCAGTCCTCACTTCCCAGCAGATCTGTAAGAAACCCCTCTTCATTCTGTGATGAGTGGGCAACTGCAGGAGCTCAGGCGAATTCACGGCATCTTTTAAAATTGTGCCTTTTTTTTTTAAGTGATCATTGTATCTGCTGTAGCCCAAATAAAGAGAGGATTGGATGGGCATGCCCGTTGAGCTAGCACATTTCACCAACGCTAATCTCATTTAAAAAGAGAGAATTGTACACTGAGCCAAGCAGCTGGCTGAGGGCATTTGTGCCGTAGGCTGTCAGGATGCCAGGCCAGGTTGACAGCTGGGACCTCGTGGGGTAAATAACACAGCTGAGCTCGGGTTTGGGCTCCAGCAAGGCGGCTGTGCTGGTGGGATGCTCCTCTCTGAATTCTTTTCCTCTGAACTGTGGATCAGGCTCTCGAGTCTCCTGATCTTCTCCAAGGGCATGGCCACTCTTCCAGTTACTTAGCATTTGACGTCCACCAGAGTCTCTGCTTGTTCTCTTCCTTGAGCCTGCAAAAGGAGGAGAAATCAATGGTTGGAGACAAATCCTGCAGCCATGATCAAAGGTGAATGAAGAATCCTGCTTGCTGTTGCATCTGGTTTCTCCAGGCTCCAGCCTAGGGACATAGGCAGGTCTCAGTGGGAGAAGACAACAAAAGATTCAGTAAAGGTCCAGAGCATTTGACAGCAGATTCTAAGTCTTTACCAGTTCTGTGCTAAAAGGAAGAACAAAAACTAACACATTTTTGTCCTCTTTCTGGGCTCTGAATCCATTTAGAATAAATTGAAGCAGGATGCCATAGGGAGAGCAAAACCATGGTGTACTCTGGCTGTATGCTCATTTTCTTTTTTTCAGTCAAGTTTGTCAGGTTTGAGAGGTGAGGGATGTATGGACTTCCCTCAACTCCCCCCTCCATTATTTTCTGATTTTTGTACTCTTAGAATCTGCTGGCTCTGGAGTCAGTGTAACTCAACTTGAGTCCTTGTGAATTCTCAGAGCTGAAAATATGGGAAGGATTCTATTGGAGGAACTATTTAATTTTTTTTTTCTTGGACTGAGCTAAATACCAGAAGGAAACCATGCCAGCACCACAAATGGCTGGTTTGTAAATTTTTATTCTGACGGCTTTCCCACATTTTTTGGAGAGGTTGTAAGCTGATTTCTGAAGGAGAGAGCTCTGTGTTGCTTAGCTGCAGTTTTCATGGGTTTTTTTTCTAGCTGTGGGAATGGAGCTGTGATATAACACAGGGCAGAATCTCATCCTGTGATGGGGTGGTGAATTGTGGCAACCCTTTGCCTGTTGGGTTAGGTGATTACAGATGTGAGGGAGTGAGGAGAAGATGCTTCTTTGCATCCAGTGAGCTGTTCTGAAGCATCATGAAGGACTTCTGTGTGTTTCACATTGTTTATAAAATAAGAAAGTCTTGTATGTACACAGCATATTCCCCCAACAAGTGATTTTTTGTCAGGCTTAAATATGAATTGCATTGTATCTGTGGGACAGGTGTGTATAGGTGAAGGCTTTTAGTATAAGCATTAAATGAGGCTGCACAGATTTCATGGGAGCTGTAGGACCGTAATAGGGAGATGCAGTTCATTCAAATTTCATACTGCATAGCTTGTTCCTTTCCAAATAGGTTTTGTTTAATGTAACTTGTTGTTTTGATAGCTTCCTCTCCTCCCCCTCACCATACTTCCCAACTTCTCTCTGTAAATGTATCAACATGGTAAAAAAATTCCATAAACAGAGATAAAAAGCTTTTTGTGTGCTCATATGTATTGTTATTCATAGAACACATTAAATGCCTAAGGTTACCGCTTTTGGTCCTTAAGGGATGTAGTAATAAAAATTCAACAGCCATTTTTTTCCTAATCAGAATTCTATACTGAATGCATCTACTTTGGAACTAGCAGATTAAAAAAAGGTGATAAAAGCTCTGCTTGGCTGTTAGCTATTTTTATTTTTTCCTTTTGGGTATCATAAATTGCTTGCATAGAAATCCAAGTTAGAGCTTGTCTTGTTTTTAAGAGAAGATGAATTTTGGATTAGAATTCTAAGTGAATTTTTTATAGGAGAGAGAAACCTTGAAACACCCCTCAGTACCTTGTATTTGTCTAGTACTTAAGTAACCTTTGGTCTTAAAACGTGTATAATTAATATTTTACCATAGCTTTCTAAATATATTTTCTTACCAAATTAACTGCCTGCTTCAATGTGTTTTGGGAAGGATGCACTTGTCCTTAAAGTTATATGGCTGAGGAAAATGGGTTTTGTCTTCCATGCAAAGCTTGTTGTTGCCCCAAATAGGCACTGTAGCAAAGTGATTATTTTCTGATCCTAGGCCCTGTGAGACCCTTGGCACTCAAACAAGTGCTTTGTGTGTGCTGTCCTACTGGAATTGGGTTTTCTTGCTGCCAGTTAATGTAATAAAAGCATGTAAGTAGAGTTTCCATTTGGATAATGTTCCAAGGTGGGTCACTGATCTGAACTGATCAAAGTTTTTGGGGCCTACATTAGGTTCTTACATCTTGGCATCTCTTTGGCTGTGTGACAAAATCAGAGCTAAAGTACCTACTCGCAGTTAGTGGTAGTTTGGTTTTCTGAGTTTTTATTGCTTTGAAAATAGACCTGTGCATCCTGGTGGGACCCCCCTGGAAGTTAGCAGGTGGCAGGAGGGAGGTGGGGCAGGTCAGTGTCACTAGGCTGTGAGGCCACAGCAGGGCTGTGATTTTAAAAAAAAGATTGAAATTGTGTGTTTTCATACGGTTCCTCTTCTTTTAGCCAGTTCCTCTGGCAGTGTGGTGTCACTGGTGGAGGTCAGGGGGTCTGGAGATGACCCCACGAAGGGTGATGGGTCAGTGCCCCTCTGGCATGGGAGGTGTGGGAAGTCCTGGAGAGTGCTTTGAAGTGCCCCCCAATTTTCATCATCCCAGAATTCCCCCAAAAGGGGGTCACTTGTGGGTGCTGGGAGTGGCTCTGCTGTTGGGACAGGCAGCTCCTGCTGTGGCAGGAGGGTGGAGGGAGCATTTCCCTGCCACTGCAGGGGCTCACAGAGCCTGGAATGGCAGGGAATGCCTGTTTTCCAGGAAATGGCTGAGACAAAGAGTGAATGTGGCAGCCTGCTCAGAACACAGATTTATGGCTCACCTTCTGACCCATCCTCAAATGCAGCCATCTGAGCTCTGCATTATAATGTGGGATTAAATTTGCCTGTCCCTTTGAGTTGCTAGTGGCATTAGTCATCTCCCCTATAAGTGTCCAGCTGTGTTGCTGAAATAACTGGTTTTCTCCCCAAATCTTCTTTCCAGTGCTTCTGCATTGGTTCCTGCATGTTTTTGGTCTTTTAAAT